CCTCACTGCGCCTCAACAGCAGGAGCAGCGGCGGCACCCGTTGCGGTAGGCGTCACGCTCGCTGTGGAAGCCACGGCCACGTCCACGACCCTCGCCACGTCCACGACCCTCGCCACGTCCACGACCGCGACCCTCGCCGCGTCCACGTCCACGGCCCTCGCCACGTCCACGGCCGCGGCCGCCCTCGCGCTCGAGGGCCTTGTACTCCACCTTGTGGGTGTTAGGGACGGCATCGTGGGCGAGGAAGAGGTACTTGCGGAGGTACTCCACGCCCTCGTCGTTGAGGAACCAGTAGAAGTGGCGCCAGGCGAACTGCTCCTTGATGAGGCCGCGGCTCTTCATGGAGCGCATGAGCTGAATCACCTGTACGGCGGGCACCTTGAAGGCCTTCCCACCCAGCGTGCCGGTCCACGTGCCGAGGGGGTCCTTCTTGCAGGAGATAACGCCCTCCGTGAAGAAGAAGCGGTACACGTCGTCGCGGGAGCGCTTCGGGACGTAAGTGGCCATCCTTATTGATGAGCTCTACAAACCAAATGAGGCGGTCCAACCAACAATACGAACAAAGGATAATAAAAGATGAAAAAAAGCAAGCAAAAAAGAAGAAGCAGCAAAAACCCAAATGAACAGAGCCCTTTACTCGGGCGGAAAGGGTAATGGAGCTGTATCATGCCTCTTTCCAACGAACGATCCCGCCAAATTTGCCCAATTCAGTAAGCGTGCCAATATATATATATATACCAAACTGAGTTACTAGCGCGTGATAAAAGTGACAGCTGTCGTTGGGAGGAACGCTAACAACCAACTGCACGGGAAAAAAGGCGCCAACTGCGTCGGTGTGCGCGTGAGTGTGAGTGTGCCCCGCACTTCTATGCATCTCCGCACCAAAACGCTATGCCTCCCCAGAAGTCGGATCCAACTTCTTCCCCCGGTCCATGTTGAAAAGCATCGCCAAATTAAAGAGCTCGTCTCCAGCCTCCGCACATTCCTTTCCTGCGGCGAGCAAATACACATCCCGCTCATCGATACTAATGAATCCTCCCTGTTCCCCTTTCGTCCCTTCCACAACAAAACGGCCCAGTTCGTAAAACATCTCCGTTAACTCCTCCGCTTGCTCCAATGAAATAGCGAACGCCTCATCCATCTTCCACGCACGGCCCTTTTGCTCCAACTGAAGCGTGGAAGTCTCTTGACCCAGCTGCAGCTTCATAATTTTACGTCCGTTGTCAAGGTTCACCTCAAAGGAGTGATTAAACTGAAGCCGCAGAGCCGCACGGTCGCGTTCCGCCTTACGATGAGACAGGAAATCCAATAGAATGCGTTCGGCCTCAAATTCTGTTTTCGGATCCTTCTCCGAGAGCAGCTCAGCCATCTCCGAGAAGAGGCACTGCAGGTTGTGCTTCTCCACATACGCCGCGTTGGCGAGCTCCTCCTCCTCATTAAGCTCATTCACACGGACGCGATTACGTGACAAGTTGAAGGTGTCGGGGGTCCTTGATGCGTCCATTGCCTTTAATGTCAGTTGCTGATCTTTTTGTTGTATTTGTGTGTGTGTGTGTGTGCGTGTTCCTTTCAACTGTAGTGAATGAACTCAACAAGCACGCAGACATAGTGCCAATGCGAGACAAAAGGCAAAGCAGGAACAAGAATAATAATAATAATAATAGTAGACAGGAGGGGTGGGGGGGGAAGGTCACTTCACCCTTTCCCTGCTCACGCAAAAGTCCAAGCACTTCTTTCCCGCTCTCGCCTTCCCGCTCTGTTGCCCCTCGAGTTCCTAACGCTAATGTGCGGCAGAAAACCCCGTATCGCAGCTTAATTTCCACACACACAGATATATATATATATATATATATCTGTATGTGTATCTCATGAAGCAGAAGAGGAGCTCGTTGCGTACCCCAAGCCCTCCCCCAGACTTCAGATCTAAATGTCTTGCGACATACACGAAGCTAAGGCGCAGCATTTGAAACGGAACACAGGCATGCGTGTAAAACACAGCGAATATAACTGGAGGGAAAAAAAGGCAACATTGAGATGGTAAAGTTTTTGCGGAAAATAAAAAGTGATGGCGTCAATTATACCAAAAATCAGTTGCACACCGCAAAGCCGACGCCGGCGTTTTCCACTGAACCCCCACATGAACACAAATATAAAGAGAGGAAACAAATGTACATTCAACAACAAAAAACATCACACGCAACGAAAGCGCCCTTGAAGCAAATAGCTATTGCTACGCCACGGGCGACATACATATACATATATATGTATAATATGTATGTATGTAGAGGTGAAGGAAGAAAAAAGAGCTCTATATATATATATGTATATATTATGAGGTAAAACCAATTATGACCATCACAGCTAGGGAGACAAAATGGCCACAGGGAGGAGGGGAGAAAGGAAGACCCGCACATGACCCAAACCCATGTACCGTAGACATATACAACAAAGACTTTCTTTCATCCCCAAACACAGTAGCGAATCACATGCGCGGCCCATCCTTTCTTCTTCACACGGAGTTCCTGAGGAGTACTTTCTTCCGGCCAGTAAATAAACACATGGGGTAAAGAAATTACAGGAAAGAAGTTAATTCCATGCGTCCGTTCCAAAAAGTGCACCACGTCTTAGGCGAATTGGTCTGTTAGCATCTTGAATGAGCTTCGCGTAGCCATTCGCGAGAAACTTATCCACAGTACCCTGCTTTTCCATGCTTAGCGCGCCATCGAGGGGCACATCCAACCTGAACGGAGGGAAGGGATTTCGTTGCAATGTTTCGGATGAACTCATATCTGCAGAGGCTAGTGAAAACTCAGGACTTGAAATTCCGTACCCACACGCAAGTTCAGCATGCCTTGTCTCCGTCGCTGCATCGGTCACAGCCTTGGTGGCGCTGTTTAGCCACCCCTCTGTCGGCAGCTGGCAACGGTAACTGCCGTCCTTCACAGCATAGTGAGACACAGAGCACATCACCTCGTCACCTGCGGCACGCACCAAAGCTGTTGCCTTCTTCGTACCCCGCAATGCAGCCTCAGACGTGTAACCTTCCTTTTCCAACCCACGCAATTTACTCAAGAGCTTCGCGCTATTCTTCCACAAGAGTGTCTGTCTACAGTACGTTTCCTTCACCTGTAGGTCGAGTATACGTCCAAGGTAGCAGTTGATAGAATGCAGGTGGAGCATGCAGAGCAGCTCGCCCAGCCAAAGTTTTTGTCTCATCCAAAAAAACTGCGTACAAAACACAAATTGATGCTCGTGATATATGGCACCACGTGCAACTTCCTCTCTCTTAGCAAGCGCACGGCGCTGACGACAAAGAAAGCTCCCGAAGTCCGTCTTTAACTCAGCCACTTCTCCCACGTCACTTTCTGCTTCAGTGGAATAAACAAACTGGCAGCTCTCAACTCTCCCATTTTCCGAGGCACTTGTTGCAGCCTTCGGCAGTGTCACAGAGTGATTGGCGTCAAAGTTATCGTTGTATGGGCTACGCAGATCCCGAGGCGCATACGCCGAGCATATGGGGTTCAGTTCCCCACCTTCACCCGGTTGTCTTTCCGTGCCCTTTCTGACGCGGGTCAGCCTCACAGTTGTGTGGCTCATGAAGAAGTGCAGCGCAGCTAACAACAAAACCAATAAAAATAACACACCGTTCAGGATGGTGACAACAAACAAAAGCACAGAAGAGTACCCAACTTGGCAAGAGAACCTATGCCCACTCACTCCAAGAGCCCGCAAAAGACTGGCCATGGCCTCTTCATACACGCTGCAGAAGGGCCTGCCGCACTTCAATGCGGAGGAGTGTAGATGTCGTTCCACCACCTCGGCTGTGACGAGAAATACAGTTCCCACGACGCTAAGAAGAAGCAATACAAGAATCACATAGTGCTCCCAACGTCTCTCAGATTCATGTAACCTAATAAAATTTTTGAGTTCCTTTTCCTCTCCGGTGAGCCTCACAACAAGGCACTTCTGCTTCACACGAACCTGTGCCTTGGGCAGACTGACTTGCTTTCGCAAATGAAAGAAAAAAACGGACACCACAACGATGATGCCCAATCCACAGAGAGTCCCAATGACTGTTGCAGCAAAGACAAAACGACTACTATACATGATTTTTGCAGCAGAGTCACCTCCACAAGCCTCTGCTGTCGCATACCCAAATTGAAGCGCATCTTTTCTGGCCTTTAAATAGGCGAGGAGAATGTCCTCAGGGAGAGGCGGCTGCATTGCTCCCTCCCGGTGATAAAAGGGCGGCAACGGGAGCACATTCCATTGCTTTCGGGAGAAGAAGCTCACACCAATCGTGAAATACAACATCCCAATATCAATGGCAAACTCTGGAATAAGCAGTACAGCATTGGGCTCCACGGTGCCGTTGTGTGAAGAGTTGTACACTACATTTCGGCTATTCGTCACCTCAAGGTAATTGCTTGAGAGTGAACTCGTGAGCCCCATGGAGACCACACCAACGGAGCAGAGGAGAACGACACTGAGGCAGACCACAAATAGATTTGCGGAGAGAAGTCCACCCGGCAACCCCTGAACCTCGGCTGGGAAGTTGGCGCCGGCCATTCGCAGCGGCCCAGCCGCTCCCGTTAACCAATTGTG